CCACTTAAACATCCATAGAAAAGCAAAGATGGCATTTGCCCTTTAAAAACCACCATGACTTGTGATTGATAAAATCAGGCCTCACACTTCCATAGCACCTTCTATCTGAAGAGCTAAACACACTTTAAAAGTGTTAATGAACCAAGCTTTGTACCACCTCTTTACGGGACATACTAACACCATTTTACAGATGGGGAAACTGAGGCACAGAGTGGTGACGTGACTTTGCCTAAGGTCCCGCAGCAGGTCCGTGGCAGAGCTGGGAATAAGTCTGTGGCAGAGCTAGGACTAAGACCCAGACTCCCATGCTTTAGCCCCCGAATATACTATCATATATAATATACAATACTAGCCCCCTAATATAATCCCCCCCAACCAACTTTGCACAGAGATTAATGGATTTTCATCAGGATCTTAGAGAGTATTAAGCCAGTCTTTAGTAAAGACTATTTAGAACTCAACCCTGTAGGCAATATGCCCTTGACCACTGTAACACCACATGCTCTCCGTATGGCAGCGTGTCAGGTACGTTGTTTAGCAAACACACCATGAATACCAATCCCTTGTGCTTGCATAGCATTCTGAGGCACAGCCTAGCATAACTCATGCAATCCACTAATGGTTTTAGCAGTTTCTGTGTTGGTTGTTCGCTTTCGTTATCACCCATAATTAGCGAATACTTGTACAGCATTTTGAAGATATACAGACCTATCTAAATGCTATTGTTCTTTTCACTAACACAGGTGCTCACAACACATCTACAGGGTGGAAGGGCACATGCACGGTACAGACTCATGTGTCTACACTGGCAATTGAACGACAAAACTTTTATCTTTCAGAGGTGTTAAAAAAAAAAAACCTCCCCGAAAGACAAAAGTTTTGCTGATGACAAGCAAATGCTGCTCGTTGGGGGTGGAAGTTTTTTGTCGGCAGGAGAGCCAACAAACAGCGGCTACACAACATGACTTTTAGGGCATGGCTGTAGCTTCAGAGACTTCCCAGTTGAATTCCTGGACGAGCCCCCACTTGTAACGCCGACAGACCCTGGTCGTCACTGAACCGGGACCTCTGGAGCTTAGTGCATAAGCCTCTACCGCATGAGCTAAAAGCCAACTGGCTGTTAGCTAAGGCTGTAGAGCAGACTCATTTAAACTCTCTCTAAGCGGTCTCGGTGCCACTAGATGGGACAGAACACCACATCAGGAGACGTGTGGGTTACACTACCTCATTTCTAAAGCTGCTTCCTAATGTTCTAACTTCAGGGGAGATATATCTGAGAGTGATGTTGTGGTGCTGGTACTGGATTACTTGGTGCTGTGATGTTATTTAAACATACACAAGATCTTACACTTATGCCGTGCATTTCGTATAAGAGGATCCCAAAGGATAATACACTGGGCCAGGGCATTTGAGCATGTCTCCCTCTTGTAGCATGCCCCAATGGCAGTAACACCTACTAGCTCTGAGCTAAAGAAAATGTATTTTAGCTCAGTTGGTAGAGGCCTGTGATTCTGGTCTTGAAGAACCTTGGGTCAATCCATACTGACGACCGTGGATTTTGTGTGAGGCAGCCATGGTTTACAAGCAGCTATAAAACTCATGCATATAGTGATACATACACAGAGAGAAATACTTCAGTTAACCCACAAAGCCACACCTGGCATAAAAAGCCCCAGCTGTTTAAGAGTTTAGGATGGAAAGTGAAGAATACACCATCCTAACGAAAGTGCAGAGGGCTTTTCAGGAAAGAGCATGTAATTATCCAAAGTGGACTTCAGCCAGGATACCAAGGGTTAACTACTATTGCCAAAAGTGTTAAATTGCCTGACTAACTTCCAGTCCAGATTTGCACAATAGGACAATCGCATTCCTTGTAGCATGAATGAGTTGATGTTGATGAGCTAATTCTCAGCCTTGCTCTTCTGGATGCCAACTCCAAAAATATGACTTACGGGTCTAAGCAAACAAACAAAACCTTCCAGTTAGCTCACTAATAATAACCCCTTGGATTTGGCTCCAGAAGTTTTGCATCATAGGGCTGATCCACTAGTAATTCAGATGACTTGCTGAATCTCATCCAAGAGATCTGTGGGTCATGAGGGTTAAGACCTCTAAAATATAGATACTCTGGAGCAGGTGAACATAATAGTTCCTATGTTTCACAGGAGCCCCTGTGAGAATTATGCCAGATTCTAGAGCAATTCCTCTTGTGCACCAGGCTCCAGATTTAATACCTTGATTAGACTCCAGAAGGAGAATCTCCTGAACCACATTGCAGTACAGTCTAGAAACTTTCAAATGTTGATTGATTTGTCTACTTGCTGATCTAGGTTCTTATATGGCCCCTGTTGCCATAATCTTGGAATGCCGAAATAATATTTTCCACATGTGCAGAGATCAGGGCAGGAGGACGCGGCAGCCATTAGAACCAACTTTAGAAATAATACCCTTGACATATCGAGGGAAACAAATGAGTCACAAATGGAAGAGTGAGCAAGGATACCTGGGGGCAAACCTGTTCTTCTAAGCGAACCCAATCTTTCCCTGAACGACCTGGCAAAACAGCTAACTAATCGCAGAAGTAGTAACTACAGAAATAAATAAAATAAAAGAGCAAGATCGGAGGACTAGCCTCTCTCAAACTCCTTCTTTAGCGTGGTTTGCTAACCTGGATCCTGGCTTTATATCCACTCTAAGTGAGCACAGAAAACCCCTTGTGTAAATCAGAGAGCACCTTTGTGGCAATAACAACTAGGAAGTGCTGACATGGGACCACTTCTGGCTTGATCATGCTAGCCTAGCTTATCCATGGAACAAGCATTGATTCAGTACCGACTTGGAGAGAAAAGCATCATCTATTGATTCACCAATGTGACTTCCAGCAGAACCTAGGTTTTCCTTGGAGGTCTCTCGTTTCAGGATTGGCCAAGCCTGGCCATGCTTGCCTTGCATGATCAGACAAGATCACAACACTTAGGTGACTGCCAAAATGCACTCAATTATAATTTTAGCCTTACTTTTTAAGGCAAAGCTGCCATTTGTATCTGTGTGCGCACTCATATTTGGAGCCTATCAGCATGGATAATGTCCCTCTAAGCACAGCAAATAGTGCTGGAAAAGTGCCAAAATAAACAGACTGAATTTTCAACAGTGCAAATAAGTTGGATCGCACTCCAACAATGTAGGCATTAAGGGAATGGATCTGAATAATGCGACTTTCAAAACAAAATGGCAACACACCTAAAATATGACAATAACAACCAATTCACTGATATGAATGCTCCAGAACTTTAGCAAAAGGAATCATATTTTAAACCAGGGCCAAAATTCTCTTTCAGATTCTTCACTGGAACCACTCTCTGGAAGCCATCCCAGAGAAAAGAACTGAAAGTGTTTGTGCTTAAAATATCTTACTCCTGTGCTGCAGTCACAAGTCCATCCTTATTTAAAAGAAGTGAAGGCACAGGATTGAGGAGTAGACCTGGGTTCTAATTCCTGGCTTTGCCACTGATTTACAGCATGACAATGGGCTAGTCACGTTGTGCCTCAGTTTCCCATCAGTAAAATGGGGGACAGTTTTATCTGACTACTGGGATGGCATGAATCTTAATACATTCTTTAATTATGCTCTCTACCTTCCCCTGCAGACAAATGCTTTCACATTCTGGGTCCATAGCATGGCCACTAGTTTTTATACCTGGAGGAGGAGGCCTACCAAAGGGTTTATTGATAGATGACACGAGACACTTCCTCTTTCCCAGTGGCAGAGCACTATTTCTGAAGCAGTCCCAATTCAGATCTCTCACATGGCAATGGGGATCAAGCAAGGCTTGCATTATATTCAATGGGAATTTTGTGAATAATGGGAAAAGAATCCTGAACCTTGAGTTAACTGACTTTTCAGCCTGAACCTCCATGCTCCTGAATGACCCAATGAAGAGCATCCTTGAGGTACTGTGTCTATTCAACAATATTGGTATTATACACATTTATGATGTCATGATATAGTTCCAAAGGATTAACACAGCATGCCTTTTAAGGTGTACTTATGTTCTACAAAGATACTCCATAACCAGGACAACGGGGTATTCCAGACATATTATCCACAAGAAATCTGGCTGCTACACAGAGTGAGTTTGTATTTCAAAGTCAAGCTGTATGATTTGTATGTCATCAACTTTTGTCACTGCCACCCCAATCATACTGAATCTGCAATCACAACTTTGTGTAATAATTTATTGTACAGCAGGGGGAAAACCTGTCTCATCTTACCTTCCCTCTTTCTGTTTTCTTCCTAGCCCGCCCCTTTGTCCTGTTTTTCCAATCAACTCTTTCAACACTACAGAAAGACTTACAGATTTCCTCATTGCTTTTGTCCTTACAGTTTTCTTTAACTCTTTAGTAATGATAATAGCAAAGAATGGTTACTTACCCTTAAACTAACTATGATTCTTCCTTGAGCATTTTTCCATGTGGATCCCACTTTTGATGGGTGAGGTTACTCAGAGAAAGGGTTTAGTGAGAGAAGAGGGTGGGACCGTGGGACTTAGGATAGAGCATTGTGGAACCAGTAGGGAAAATGGGAGAGGGAAGTATGATCAACCAAAGAGACCCAGCAGGAGAGCCAGGGAGAAGACCATGTCATGAAAGCCAAGGAAGGAGATGTCAAGCAGGCGAGTCTAATCAACACAGCAGATGGGACAAGCAGGTGAAGTAGCTGCCTTGAGAGTTGGCTAGAAAGAGATCAGAACAGTTTCAGAAAGTGTGGCAGGGAATCCAGGATGGAGGTGGAGGAGAGGAATTCAAGAGGCAACAGTTGTAGATAGCTCACTCAGTAAGTCTGGAGGTAACGTGTAGGAAGGGAGATGGAGAGGCAGTAGGTGGGTAAGGAATGGCTTCAATCATAATTACAAAGAACCAAATTCTGAGAGGTGCCAATCTCCCTGCAAGTTATTGTGAAAACATTGGCACAACTACCAACCATTATTTATGCTCTAAAATTCTCTTTATTAAAATCCTTTTTAAGAAACACAATCTGAAACACTTTGTAATCAGTTGCACAGATCAGTTAATACTGGTGACACCACCTACATAACTCAACAAGTTCTAACAAATTCCAATTGTTTACAAGGCAAAACTTAAATTAACAAGATTCTATAAGCTCAATAAATAGTATGTCTGGTCCAGTTCAAGTATAATTAAACAAATCACAGCCTTAATAGAGAATAGAAAAACCCTGAATATAACCAGCCTGACACTAATTTAGTGTTCAAGCCAATATTAAAATGTGTTAAGTCTTATGGGGCTAATGTTTAGATTTTTTTTTTTTTTAATTTTTAACCTGGAAGAAAGCAAGTTGCATTGTGACATTAAAGACTATTTGAGATCAGCAGATAAAAACATGTTCACTGTTCAGAAAGGCTGCAGCCTGTGTGAAATCTTTGGTTGAGACATGTTGAAGTGATTCATAAATATCATGGAAGCTCCTCTTTAAATAATAATAAATAATTTTTTGGCTAGACTTGAGACTGCCTGGTGCTATACATATATTAATCAGAAATGTAAATTGTTGAAGAACTATGCCGACTAGAAAAATACTACATCTTAGATTTTAAATATAGCAAGTCAAAAGAGAAACAGCACATTTTACAGCCGTTGAAAGAGGCAAATAGCTACCTGTACAGGTGCGTTGCCGCTCAGCAGAATAGGTATTAGACTGATGGCTAGGGGTTAAATGCCTGCCAGCATTGCCTCTATGGGCTGTTTTGATGGAAAGACATTATATTGCAGGTCTCTAATTGCGTTGGGCTGAAAATTGATTGCACAGATTGTTAGACTGAATGCTAAGACTTGGAGGTTCTTTTCAACTGCTTTTGAATATAGGGATTTTGCAAAATAAAATAAAATTCTCAGGACTACAGCTGCCTTTTTGGCCACATTCACGTGCTGTTTTGTCAGATTTTCAAATCCCCCCTGAAAATGCCTGGATTTGATCACAGTTGTGTGCGTGTGCACACGCAGATGCCTTTCTGGAGGCTCTAAACATTTGGCCCTGGACCCCAAATACAGTAATTAGGCCAGAATCACCCCTTTGGGTTCTGCCCGTGGAACCTGGGTTTGCAGGCTGTCAAAGGAGGAAACTCCACATGGAAAGGGGTGCCCCCACTTTTACCCGGGGGGATTAGGACCAGCCAGCACAAGCAAGGCGATCTTGGCTGGCTGAGAGGTGTGCTGACTCAGCACGGCTCCTGGGCTGCCCATCAAGCCCCCAACCTTTGGAGCCCTGGCTGGAAACTGAAGCACTCTTCCTCAGGCAAGATCTCTGGGGAGGGGACTGTAGGATACCACTACCAACCCGCAACACAGATGGATTCTGCACTTCTGATGCAACTGGCCCTGCGAGCACAAGGTGAAATATGCAAGGGGTGCAGCACAGGAGTGAATCTGGGCCTTAGGGTTTAATATTTTGGGGGTAATAAGTTGAATCGCTCATTTAAGTCTGACAATGAGCCCATGGGCAAACACAGAAGCTAGGTTTAGTGGTTTTACTCCTGCTGACCAGAATGGTTTCACTGTTACCTTCTACTTCCCCCATTTGTTTGCATCCACCTGTTGTCTCTCACCTTGAACTCTGGTTGTAAGTTCTTTGGGGGCTGGAACCTCTCGGTGCTACTGAAATACAAATGGATAATACTACGACTACTCTTCATACTTGAGTTTGGCTGGAGATAAGTTGCTAGAGGCGTGGGGATTTGGGGCACTATCAACCCTACCTCCCATCCGCTTTAACGTAACCAGGTGATCTAAAAATCTACCACCACTCTAGTGAGTGCTCCAGTTCTGGAACAGTCTGAGATATAAAAATCAGATGCTTGCTCCTTAGGTGATTCCCCTCCCCACTCATCTCGTGCTATCAGGCAATGAGAGTAATTCTTCACATTCAGTCTATGCATCACTGCCCTAACAGCTATGCCTTGGACAGTAACTACAGAATATTTACTTCCCTTTTCATGATTTTACATCTTGCAATAAAAATTGTGGCCTAACAAATCTCATCAAAATGTAATAAGAAATCTTGTAGCAAGAAGAATTTGCTTTTCAAGATTTTTTGTTTCAATTAATTGAGGAATAAAAGCCATGTTTTAAATACATTTGGGCCCAAATCCTGTCACACCTGAAATCTGGTGACGCTCAGATCTATGCCTAAATATTGTGTCTTCCCTTCTTTCTCTCTGATGCACCAAGCCAGACCTGGAATCCACAGAATCCCTGAACTTTGGAGAAAAATGAATCCAAGATTTGCAGCTTGCACCCAACTCTGGTTGAAATAAATGGAATGCCTACACCATCTAATTGAAAGGGAACTTGCCAAACAACAAAATGCAGCCAGCAGATATGATACTGAGCTGAAACCATTTTCAGAGAAAGAAGAATATGGCTGCTGGTGCGGGTGATATGGAACAGGTTTTTTGGTGGGAGCAGTTTTGGCAGATTGGCCACTTTGCAACATTAATGTTGTTCTCTGTGATGGATAAGCCATTCTGGGGGGAAATGATTTACTGTACACAAAATCCTATTGCATTAAGTGAAACATCTAGCGCCAGAGATTTCAGTGGCCCTTAATATGGTCAATATCAGAGCTGGACAAAGAATGCGGGAGAAAAATCTGCAAATTCTCCCATTCTCCGTTTTTCATCCAAATTTCAAACATTTCAAAAATTTTCCTACCACTTGCCTGGAGACATGGTTTGTGGTGCATTTTGTAAAAGCATAATTCCAGGATCAAATCTGGCAGCAGTTTTAGTACATATTCACTTTGCTACACAAAGCCCATTGAAATTAACCAGAAATCTAAATAGTGCATTTCAATGGGACTTTACATTATATTAAGCAATAACTCTGAGTATAAACAATGCCATATAATAATATTTATAGTTGCTGGTGCATCCTGTGTTCTCACTACAGCATTCTGTGAACAGTTGTTACACTTGCCATAAAAATTCAGGGGAATGAATACAAAAACTGTTAAAACAACATTAAGTGTCTGGCTTATTTCCATAAAGACCAGGAAATTCAAGATGGCCAAGATTAGAAAAACATGTTTTAAACCCCCCCAATGAGAATGGATAAAGAATTCTACAAGTTACATAAGCGAAACGTCTAGCAGTTATAAAGCTTCTTGTGCGAGTTTAATCTAAGACACAAAGTGGACACACTTTTAGAATTTTCCCAAGGAATATTTCCAAACACAGAAATTACCAAAGAGCATCCAGCCCACAGGATATAAAGCACTGGAGAACGAAGGCAAATAACTTTCAGCCTGAACTGTTCTGCCTGTATTGGATTTCAATTGTACGCTCCTAGAAACAGGGACTGTGACTTCCTCGATCTTTGTACAACATCGAGTACATGGACAACACTCGAAAATTAAAAAACAATGATGATTATCATCACCAAGCTCTAGGTGCACATATCCTGAGGCCACTGGGGTTTACCTTATGCCATCTAACAGCACTAGCACAATGGCTTTAGGTCTCTTAAACAAGGCCTATTGTTCACTATACTAATGAGTGAAGTGACTTAAAATATATTCATGTTAAAAGCTTCATTCAGGACATTTCTTTTCAGATCATTTCCACTGGAGGATGCTAAATTCTTCTAAATACTCAGCCTGACCTACTGTGTGGCATCTGAGAATCCCTGAGAATTCTGAGTTAGTATAGGAAGCCGCTCCCAACACACAGCCTGAGAAAGAATAGCTGTGCTTGTTACAGATACGCCAGCACTGCTTCCCCGTGGGAAACTATTTCAGGCATTATGGTTTTTAATGGCACCCTGGGCATAGATGCATAGAACATGCTGTTTATTGTGCTTTCCTTCCTCCTGCACAGTGCAAATTGATCACCACACCATGTAGATCAACAATGAAATGTCAGCATTCACTCATTTACAGCTCTTCTAGTTGAGCGACATCATAGCTTTTTCTTCTCAAAGTGGGGAACAATCCCAGCAACGTCCTGTGGCAGATTGCTGTCTTCTTCATTCATTTTCAGACTCTCTTCTGCAAGTTGGGATAGATACTTCTGTGACCAAAGGAAAACCAGAGGTGGCATTAGCAAAATTGAGAATACTCAGCACAGAGTGCTTTATAACTTCAAAGCACTGTCACTAGCCCTTAACAACCCTGGGAGATAGAACCCACAGACATTCTGTCTACACTAAGGAAATTTAAACTGGTGTATCTGTATTAATGTAGATCCCCTAGAGCAAATTCCCTTAATGCTGACAAGACCAGGGAGGTTAAGTGACTTGCTCAATGCCACCCAGGAAGTCAGCAGCAGAACCAGGAGGACTACAGTTCAGGATATCCTGGCTCCCAGTCCCATGCTCAATCCACTAGACCTTTTCTCCTGGCAAATAGAAGCTGATTGCTCGATTCTGCTCTCACGTTGGGGTAAATCAGCAGTAACGCCACAGAAGGGAACAGAATTACACTGGTATTGAAGTGGTGGGATTGAGAGCAGACACTGTTCCTGAGATATGATTTAAAACATACGTTACATTTGCAAAGCATCTGACTTAGACACATACCTTTCGATGTATATAAATCTATTTCTTTTAAGTGAAAGGAAAAGTGAAGCCAACAATCAACACCGATAGAATTTAACAATCTGGCTGGAGTATTTGCCTGTATTGACTTGTTTTATTCTGATGGAGTTCAAGTGCCTTAAATATCAATAATATAGTGCGATCCTAAAAGCTATTAGCAGCCAGTAAAGCTGCTGACTTACTGGCAATGCCCTTGGTGGCAGAGGTGCACACAAAATGGAAGGTGGAATGACATGGGCGTGAGAGAGGCATGCAAAAATTTTATACTCAAATTCAACCCCGGTGAATGGCATGAGAGGCAGAAGGGAACAAAACTTCCTCATCACAAGTAAAATCTTCCTCTCTGTGGATCCTGACCAAGCAAATGCCAGTTACTCAAACTCTTGAAACAGATTCATTAGCACCATCAGTCTACGTACAGCTGTGATGAGAAATTACATACATCTCTAGCTACGAACAACTGCTCTGGTCTAGGACTGGTCATTTAAAAACACTGCTCCAGGGGGGAACACAGAATCCTCATGGCAACTCTGCAGCAGGCACCCTATCACCTGCTACGTGTCTCTCCTTTCAGTGGTGCCTGTGTAGGACCTGCTGTTGCACCATCTATACAGTACACTGCATAAACTCACAATGTGCAGGGCAGGGTTAACTTTTGGGGGCCCTGGAGCCCACCCAAAGGCCCCGCCCCTGCACTCCTCCCCAAGGCCCCGCCCCTGCTCTCCACCCATGCTCCGCTCCAAGGTCCTGGCCCTGTTTGGCCTGTTTCCCGCCAGGCCCCGCCCGTCGCTCACACGAGGGGTGTGTGGAGAGGAGTGAGGTGGGGAAGGGGTGGAGAGGGGCCAGGCAGGGAGGGATTGGAGGGTGCAGAGAGGAATGATTGGGGGTGGGGCTTCAGGGGGAAGAGGCCAAGTGGGGGTGGGGCCTTGGGGGGTGGCCACAGTCCAGGCGACAGGGCATCTTCTGGGTGTGGGCCCGTCACTATTGTAAACTCAGTACTGACAATGTGGCCTTCATTTTCTAGAGAAAGGGCAAAACTCTTTACGTTTCATGTGTACAGCTTAGCAGGAGGTGACTCAAAACTATTCTTCAGCTTCCAGAGGCAACCTTCCCTCCCCCCCCCCCCCTTTTTTTTTTTTTGAGGGGAAGGGGTAGTCGCTGGTCCATTTTTAAACCCCAAACGTTGCCTGCCAAGATCCTTAGAGCTGCTCTTAGATGGTATACCATGATGATTGCCACTGCTGTAATCTTGAATAGAGAGCTGTGGCCTGTGGAAACGCAGCACACAACACTCTGTCTTGATCTAACTGGACAAAATTCCACATGGCTGCAGGCAAGAGTAAATATTACAAGAGTCTTTGGATAGACATGGAATTCATTAAGGTTGCTTTAATTTATCTTTAAACCATAAACTACATTTAATTACTAGCACACATAGATGGAACATATAACCCATAAGCTGATTTTTTTAAGCTATTGCCTACCCAATGATGGTTGAGATTTTCAAAGCTGACTAGGGGTTTAGCCACACCCCCTTGTTGATTTCAATACCACCTCATGTGGCTAAAGCCCTTCTCAGCTTTGAAAAATCTCAATCTAAAACCCCCAACTGCTATTTATCACAGAACTGCAGCAAGAGGGAGAAAATACTTTTTTGGTTTAAATAGAAATCCACTACAAAACCTATACAGAAGGCAGTCAGGCATTACAATGCATTCCATAAAACCTCTCTACATTTATATGTAAACCAGAATGAAAGTGGCTTTGAAAATTGTTTGGCATTAATCTAATTCTGCGGTTCTCAAGCTTCATTGCACGTCGACCCCCTTCTGACAACAAAAATTACTACACGACCCGGGGGGGGAGGGGACTGAAGCCTGAGCCCTCCTGAGCCTCACCGCCCCGGGCAGAGGGGCCCAAGAGAAGCCCAAGGAAGGGGAGTCCGTAATCTGAGCCCCACCGCCCAGGATTGAAGCTGAAGTGTGAGCCCTGCCGCCCAGGGCTGAAGCCCTCGGGCTTCGACTTTGGCCCCAGGTGGTGGGGCTCAGGCTTCGGCTTCATCCCTGGCCCCCAGCAAGTCTAATGCTGGCCCTGGCGACCCCATTAAAACGGGGTCATGACCCACTTTGGGGTCCTGACCCACAGTTTGAGAACCACTGATCTAATTTAAAATATAATCTATCTACTTTAGGTACTTCTCCGGCCCCCATCACCATAACCTTTAATGTGTTTAATGTGAGGGGGAGCAGTGTATACGCTATTATCTTCAGTTGGGGAACTGAGACACAGAAAGGCTAAATGACTTGCCCAAGGTCAGACAGGAAGTCTGTACCAAAGCAGGTATGCTGGTGCCCTAGACCATCCTTCTTCTTCTATATCTACTCACCTCAATATTTAATTATTAACCCCTGGACCATCCTCCCTCTATAATCACTTCTTAACAAGCAGACTGGGCCTTTTCTGTGAGTGATCCTCAACACCGGAACTTGATTTTCCCCCGTGGTGTGCCTGAATATGTTCCAGACAAGCTGCACAGCCCCATCTTTTCTTCTTGGGGTGGGGGTGCACCGAGCAGGATGGGTGAAGAATGCACAAAGGTATGGTTAATATTGATGCTGTTATGAACAGGGATTGTTGATATTCTCAGGTGGATATCTAAAAAGTGACCAAGGGAGGGTTGGGTTTGGTTTATTTTTGGATATGCCAATGATCTTAGTGCAATATTGTCTAGTGTGTGCTTGGAAAAATACCCAGAGCAATGAGTGGGGATTTAAAAGTAAATCTAAATAAATACATAGGACATGGCATTTTTCTTCACTGCCTTCTAGCAATTGTTATGTAGCATTATGCTGCACTGTTGGACAGCTGCCATGTTCCACACCAGAGATGGCTGCATTTCAGTGGCCTATGAAGCCATCCTCAGATCATTTATGTATCATACACATAATGCTTTGAAATTCCTCAAGTTGAAACATACTGTAGAGACTTAAATTGGCACAGAAATAAAATTATACAAATTCTAAAAGGGTAACAAATTTAGCTGCCATGAAATTAACAAATCAGTAACGGTGGCAGGCTCTGTGCAATCTGTCCCAGAAAGAACTGCCTATGCACTTCAGTCCTCACCTGAAACACCCCTACTACTCCCTAATTTTGGGACTCTTAAGAGGAGAGACTCAACTGGGCCAAATTGTGTGCTAGTATTTTTGTGATGTGGACTTCTCACCTCATTTCACTTGTGAGCCATGATTTGAGCACAGGGATCCAGAGGTGACAGGCTAGTGTGCTGGCCGGCAGCACTGCACAAACCATTTGATTTCTATACATTTGTCAGCTTAAAAGATTTAAAACTGTCCATTTCCATGCCACTGAATTCTGTGCGCACCATGAAAGTCCGTTTTATAGCACCAGAGAGTTTTACTCAGTCTGACCCATTCGTTAGTAGAAGCAGGACTAACACTAATTACACGTGTGTTTTACCTGAAGATTTTTGTAGTGAACAGTACTTCTGCAGTGGCTTGTCTTAGCTGTCTCTTCATTCGTGTAGAAAAGTCCACAAAGCTTGCAGTAAAACCCAGTTCTGGGCACCACAAATTCCACACCTACCAAACGATTTTGAATCACATTAACATGGTTTACTTTCAAAGAGAAAAATATAATTTAGCTCAATGATAAAGAAACAAAGGCTAATCCCAGATCTACTACTTTCAAGTTCACCTGAAAGGACATCAAATTCTGTAACACTGACGAATGACGGCGAAAAATTACAATTTAAAACATCATGCGTCATGCATCTGACGAAGTGGGTATTCACCCACGAAAGCTTATGCTCCAATACATCTGTTAGTCTATAAGGTGCCACAGGACTCTCTGTTGCAATTTAATACATCATGTACTGCAAATACACATTGTATACATTCTCTTAGGTATTCTATGTATTTATACATTATCTCAGATAATATATGCATGTATATTTATTGAGAATACATGATGGTATAGCACAAAGGGTTGGGATAGTCACAGAATTTACTAGGGGCAAAAGTCACAACTGAGTTATATAGGTCATTCCTAGTGAGTGCCAATAATATCCTTATATTAGATCACACCACAGTGTATTCTGTACGTTCATGTTCTATGGTTGTGTAATGTAATCGATCCATTCGGGGCTAACTCACTCTAATTTTTCATGTCACATGCTTAGAAGCTCCTTACTGTACAGAGAACTCACTTGAGAGATCTCTCTGCCCTCAAGATTTCCTTGGCACTGAGCAATGCTTCTACCAAAGCCCAGATAATTTCTTTCTGAATGTGTCAGTCCCCCTATGTTTTAGACCTTGGAATCCAATGGCAGTTATTTCAGCTGTTCAGTGTCATTAATGAACACATAGTCCATTTATCTGGAATAATAATCCATAATCTGGAATAAAAATCTCAGTTCTTTCCACATTTAACCATGTGTTACTTACTGTTTCTTTTGATTCTCCTTGCATTCGTTCTGAGAAACAAATACAATAAGTAGCCTTAAAGTGACACCTTGTTGTACATTCAAGGTATTGCAATGGACAGTGTCTCATGCAGAGAGAGACCTAAACGTTTAGACATACCTAGAGGAATGCTAAGTTCAGTGAAAACATCCTCTTGTTCCCAGGATGGTGAAGAATGGGTTCTTTTAGATTTCACCTCGGAGAATTCAGGAGATTTCATTTCCAGGTACCTAGAATTTACTTAACAAAGGAATAAATGCATTGAATGAAAACAGTTCAATGAAATATGACAACTTCTATAATCCCCTTTCAAACTTTTTCTGAATGAGGCCAGAAGTTGAACATGACCTGGAAATGGAATATTTCCATCCAATCTGGATGCTTAAAACAGTACAGCTGCCAATAGCTAACCAATAAGAAACACCACACATTAACTACATTTTTTTTCTAGAGACAATTTCATATTTATTACTGCTCTTCTGTTTATATTTTAAACTTTTCCATTTTGGTAATTGCCCACTTTCATTAGAGAGAGTGTGTTAAAACTGGAGCTATACTTTATGCATGCCTCAGTATTACAGGATACTGACAAACACTATTATTCTGTATTTATATGTTAAATCAGTGCAAGCAGCAGATTTAATGCATGGGAAATATTGTATTGATTTACTGGGAAGGATTAAGGCTGGTAAGAAAGATATCCTTCCTCCCCGTTCCAGACATGTGAATTGCTTATATATTATATATAAAATACAGAGCCACTCAAGATCCCAAGTCACTACAGCATTACAACGGAGATGCAGGATTAAGAAGGGCTTGATTCTGATTCTGCAGTTCTTCCAGACACTGCTGTCCTTACTCAGAGATTTTTCCTGACAGCTAAAGTTTTTAATAGGCAGGTATGATTAATCTTACCCTCTGAAAATATTTTCTGGCTTTGTGTTACCATGTGCCTTGCCACATCAGGTTATATTCGAGGGAACATATAAGAAATAACGGTACTTGGTTAGTACCCACCCAAGTCCCCACACAAAGTCACGTGCTTGCATGAACAAGGACAGAGAAGTAACAATCTACAAACTATTTTCATCTTTTTGCATGGTGGGTAAGAAACACCCATCCTGAGTTTCTTATGTGGGCGGGAGCCAGACAGATATAAAAGATCCCTCGGTTATTTGTTGACCTGCAGGAACTGTAGTTCTTCTCATTGACCATTCAAAGTACTTAGCAGGGGGCTACAAGAGTTCAGCTCAACTCACGTGAACCCAGATGTGACTGTTACAGCTGATTATCGTATTTCCTTTACACCATTTGACTAAAAGCCTTTAAAGGATTAACAGGGCTCTCATGGCAGCAGGGTTCTTTTACTGAGCTGCTCCTAGGAAAATCTTGACACTATTAGCAACATTTATTCTTGTTAGCAGCAGATTAAAATCTAATGCATCTTGCACAGATAAAAGCTCTCCACCAGCAGAAAAGAAAACACAGAAGTACTTACCCCGCGTCTCTTGACACTCTTGGCTTCCACGCGTTGTTTCTTCACTGGAGTTTTTTACAAGCATTTCCATTACTTCTCTACTCTCTGTTTCTTGTGATCCCATCTGCTTGTAATGATCCATAAAAGTGCCAGAGAGCTGGTGAGTCTCTCCTTTCATTTGATCAGAAGGTATCTGTCCATCCTCCAGCTTTATGTGAATATCAGAGCTCTCCTCTATTTTTCCTTCCTTTCTGTGGTAATTAGAATCCCTAAGAGCTCTGTCTTCTTGTGATCCATCTGGCTTCTGTTCAGTGTCCAGATTTAGGCTTGATGCTTCGGTAACTGCATCATCATCATCAGCTTCTGGACAGCCACCGGAAGCAGCTATGCTTTCCTTTGCTGATCTGAAGCTCGTTTCTGGAGCTTCCTGGGCAGATTCGCCTTCACACCTGTTTATCTGGCTATGGTCATTTTCCAGTTCTAACGTGCTAGTTACATACTGATGCATTTCTGAGCATGCTTTGTCTTTTGGATCAACTGGAACAATTTCTTCAAGTTCAGTTATATCCGGCTCCATAATAAAGTCGTCTTCTCCCACTTCATCCACTGTGACCAGTTCTTCCATGTTAGCTGGATACCAGGCCTCGCCTTCCATCTCACTTCCACTTTCCCAGTCTCGCTCCTGCAGCAGAGAGATGTCATAGTTATATATCATCAATATTAGGGAATGGGCTTTGACGTAGTGATCACAAGTGATGCTTTGGACTGGCCATCCCTCATGTCCTACCATGTCCACAATTCCTAGGAACGGTACACTGTGGTACCATGTTTAATTTACTCTGTGTACGTGTAGGGGGGTGTATATGTAATCCACGTGCTAATAGGGAGATATTTCTTTAGAGAGAAGCGGGAGAGGAGTGAGTTGTGTCTGGGTCATTCTTGCTAGGCAGATGTCCTATTAGCACTCCACACCCAGAAGTTTCTGGAATTGGGTGTGGTAGCTGGACTCACACTCCACTGAAGACAAGTAATCAGGGCAGCTGCTTTACAAAAGGACATGTGACCTGCTGGGAGAAGCTTAGCCCTGGCACAGAAAGCAGGCTGGTTTCCCTTAACTCTGAAGCACCGTACAGCAGGTTCGGAGTATTGTTAACTTTCCAGCACAGGGAAGCCCTGGCCATGTTAGAAAGAGGAAACTGGGAGGGGAAACTAATGTCTTTCATTTTAGTTACACACCTTGAGTGTGATTTGATTTTAGCCAAACCGTTTTAGTTCAATTGTCTGGTTCAGCAACTTTTTTCTTATTTAAATGGGATGATGGGGAAAGTCGTCTATATCTGGCTATTCTCAGTTTTGTATTTTTCTTGTAATAGGGTTATTGATTTATATACTTAATACCGATTGGCTGATTAATTAGCTAGCTAGCTGAGTGATTCCATAGTCCAGTAGAGGAGGAGAAAGTCTGCTTGGGTTCCAGTTGGAGCTTTCTACAAGCAAGAGGAGGGATGATATTGCTACAGAGCTTTCGGCGCAGCAGACTGTATAGAGCCGATGAACAAAGACTCTAGCTGGGACAGGTAAACTCAGTCTAAGCTGTTGGAACTCTGAGTTACTCCTCACTGTGAGTTTGTGGGGACCGACCTGTTTAGATCTAATTTGTTTCTTTTGTTTATATTTATGTATAATTGTGAAGATAGCGTATGTGGATTCTGAAGTAGCCTTATTAGGTAGTAGAAATTAAGCTATTATTATTATTGTATAGAGAATAAGACTGAGAATATATTATTGCCCTTATATAAATCGATGGTACGCCCTCATCTCGAATACTGCGTACAGATGTGGTCTCCTTATCTCAAAAAAGATATACTGGCACTGGAAAAGGTTCAGAAAAGGGCAACTAAAATGATTAAGGGTTTGGAACGGGTCCCATATGAGGAGAGATTAAAGAGGCTAGGACTCTTCAGCTTGGAAAAGAGGAGACTAAGGGGGGATATGATAGAGGTATATAAAATCATGAGTGATGTGGAGAAAGTGGATAAGGAAAAATTATTTACTTATTCCCATAATACAAGAACTAGGGGTCATCAAATGAAATTAATAGGCAGCAGGTTTAAAACAAATAAAAGGAAGTTCTTCTTCACGCAACGCACAGTCAACTTGTGGAACTCCTTACCTGAGGAGGTTGTGAAGGCTAGGACTATAACAGAGTTTAAAAGAGAACTGGATAAATTCTTGGTGGTTAAGTCCATTAATGGCTATTAGCCAGGACGGGTAAGGAATGGTGTCCCTAGCCAGAGGTTGGAGATGGATGATAGGAGAGAGATCACTTGATCATTGCCTGTTAGGTTCACTCCCTCTGGGGCACCTGGCATTGGCCACTGTCGGTAGACAGGATATTGGGCTAGATGGACCTTTGGTCTGACCCGGTACGGCCTTTCTTATGTTCTTATGTTATGTTGTTCCTTGATTATTATAAGATTGTATGAAGTTGGTACTTAAGAATTAAGTTCATTCCCTTTGTTCTTTTTGGACTTGATTGTGGGGAATCCTTGCTGAAAGTCCTCCATGACTGAACTCTGGATCTGCATGTGCTTTTCTATAGGAGTTGTGTTTAACCACTAGGAGAGTTCCCCCACTGTTACATATACACAGACCACTTTACAATAGCCATATAAATGCTTCTAGCACTGCACTTCTTTGGGGATATTTTGTAACTCTCTGGGTTGCTGAAATCTCCCCATCCAGTCTTACGTTAATTATCACCATGTGAGCAGTGCCACAACTGCCCAGAAATCCACAACCTGTTGTACCTAATTCTTTGAATAAGTCTTTCTTCAGGCCCAGAGGAAATTCACTTACCTACCCCTCTGGGGACATAGGAGCCTTGCCAGCAGAGACTGCTGGGGGGAATGTGCTGAATTTGTCCACTCCCCATCAGCACTATGGCCAACCTCTCCCCAACCAACACAGTCATTTTTTTGCCTGGCTGCACACTACCTCAAGCTCCTACAGAGAAAGGAAACTTGTGGCTACCTACTGCAGTCACTTCCTTCCACATGGACCCTCTGCCAGAGACTCTGCTGGCAGAAGCTGGCTTAGACCTTGAAGGAAGTTAGCCTTTAGAGTTACACTAAACTTTTAATCTCCTGGAATACCAGATAAATGCCAAATAAAATCACAGGATGGTACTAATTATAAACTCAGTATCCAGCAGTGGACCTTCATTCCAAAACATTAGCCCTGGCTTTCAGAATTGCACCTATTCATTACAACGCCTGCTTACTTTTAAGGCATACTTGGAATAAGTTAGATTTTAACTCCCAGAATCATTTTATGTGCATAAGAGATTAAAAATCTGTGTTTTTCTCCTCTTTGGTCATTTCATATGAAGCCTGGCAGTGTCCTAGGGTAGACAGACTGTTCTGGATCAGGAGATCAATTTTCTACTGCACCAGATATTGATAGCTACCACATTCGACCATCAGCTCGTAACTGTAAAGGTATGAAGCTGGAGAATTTCGAAGACTATGTCTCTGTGCTACTGCAACGGGAGGTTTGTAGTGAAATTATTTAATTAAAGAGAAATATTTAAAAAGAGGTTGTCTACAGTCCATCTAACGCCATCATTCTGGAAAGGCTTCATCTCCTGTCCCATCCTTTGCTGTAGCTCCAAAATGACTGCCTCTTCTATTTTTGGACACACTGTACAGTTATGTAGTCTTTTTAGGCATACGTTCCTTCACATGCATAGCACTTGGCAGCAGCAATTAAAAGTAATCTATATGGGCGTACAGCAACTAAAAAAAGAGCCTCTCAAAACCCTGTCAGGCAAAAGGTATCCATAGAAGCAGAGTTCAATATGAGGTAAGTTAATTTAGACATCCCCTCTCAGAGTGTCTGAGAAATGGCATTCAATAGGGGTGTAATATTCCTGTCTGCAAAATTTGCTGACAAATTCATGTGTTGCTGCATTTTATAATAGAGACTAAACCCAGTTAACACACAGCTTACCTTCTCTTTTCTTGTGCTTTCCATGGAATCTGCTGAATCTTTTCCTTGTTTATTTGCTGAAGGTGAGGTCTTCTCTGTAATATGCTCCTCTTTCCCAAGCTAAAACAAATACAATATGTATATCTGTAGTGACACTCAGCAGTAATCCTAAACAGAGAGATTTCCATTCTGGTTCTATTCTGAGTCTTCGTGAGCAAAGGCATTCAGCATGGTCCCATTCCTTATTCATCAAATTTGTATAAGTGAACTGTACTCCGGGAAAACACCCAGAGATTGGAGACTTCTATCTAGCAAAGCTGGACAGAAAATTTAAAAAAAAAGAGAAATTTTGAGAAAAAAATGGAAATGATTGGAAATTCATGAATTTCCAATCTTCCTTCTTCAGTTTTCCAACCAACCCTGGTTTATAATGATTGAATGCAGTGTAAGCAGGGGGCCCAACCCATTGATTTGTGATTGTAGGACTGCTCAGGAATGCAGTTCCTTGCATAGGTTATACTTTGGAAAAACAAACCACAACATTATATGGTGTTTAAAAAAAAATAAAAAAAAAGTAGGTGGATTGGAAGTTTGGGTCTTTTAAGCTTGAGGGCGTCCCTTTAACCTGATGAGTGACCTTAACCAAAGATTCTCAGAAGGTCTATTGCTAACACTGTTAGTTTAAGATGACTATGTATGTGTGTGCAATGAACACTGCAGCTTCTCTCCAAGGAAGCACAAAGCGACCACAAAAAGACAATCAAGCCACATCTTCTTGGTTGTCACCAGGGACTGAACCCAGGACCTCCAGAGTTAAAAGCAGGAGCCCCTGCAGCTTCTGCAAAAGGATTAAGATCTGCACCTGGCAGCTGCAGCGGACTCATATCCTCAATGGACCAGGACCAGAGGTATGCCTAACACACAGGAATGACAGCTTTGATGTGGGCTCCTCCCGCTCTACCTCTCTGAGACTCCAACTGCACGAGCCAGGAGTGCCTAGATCTGTCGTTAGTAGTCCCTGCAGACTGCCACAAGAGGAGCGCCACAGGGCCAGGCAGGAGGGTGCCTGGCACCAGAGAGCTCATCTTAGAGAGAGCCCTGCTCCGAGGTATCATTCAGTCACACTGCAGTACAGAGGGAAAGAAAAAGGGGACAAAAATCTGGTGCAGACAAACAGATTGACTGGATGTGGCAGAGCCATTGCCTGCTTGCTACAGAGACTGCTGAGCTACAACCTGGAAACCTGGAAACGTCCGTCATTTTTTCCCTGCATGAGGAATGAGAGCAAGGTCAACTAAGGCTTGCCCTGAGCTGACTACAGATTTTGAAGTTCAGCAGGATCAACTCAAGTCATTGCCCCTGGGGAACCAGAAACAGGATATCCAGCAGTTTCTTCAAGTAAACACTCCCCAGCGAGAGACACGGACCACCTACCCATTTTCAAGACTATTGTTAGTTAAATACATGTACAGCCTTACACTTACACACCCGTGCTGTAACGTTATTAACCACTGTACACCATGTGGTCATCAGACTTAGTGTCAAAGTAACAAAGAGTTAAGGTTAGAACTTTTCAGAAGAGCTCAAATAAATTATGTGCCCAAATCCCACTGGTGTCCCATTAGGCTCCTTTTAGTCAATGATTTTTGGGGAAGAAAGCTGCAAGGTACTGGAGTGAATAACAGAGCTCTCCATAATGGTATTTCTGTTGATGTGGCAAGTTACAGAATGTTCGAGTGGCTTTTTCTCCCCACTTGGTGTTAATAATGTGAGTTCAAAACTGGCTCGGAGTACGTTGCACCCCTAAAAGTGCAACTGCTCCCCAAAAAAGCGTAGAGATACTACACATGACAGGTCTCCAGGTGCATGAATAAGGAAAATGAACTTTTGCTCACAAAGTTTGCTACTGAGTTCTTGAGCTGCTGTATAAAATGATTGTTCTGTGGAGGGCTGGTGCCGTGAGAAAGGTAGCCCATCCCCTGTTGAAACACACCTTGGACAGGTTTACCTTTCACTTCTATTAAACCTGATGATCTGGATTTTCTGGTCTGAAGCAGCACAAAGTGACCTTAAGCCAGCCAGAGATAGCCACTGGAGAATTCCCTCTACACAGCGGAACACTCTGCTGGCAGAAATCTGGTGGTGGCAGCCCTGCTCCTCCTGTGCCAGCCGTGTAAATTCAGTAAAGGATCTTATGCCAGTGGCATACGTAGGGCCCTACCAATTTCACGGCCGTGAAAAACATGTCACGGACCGTGAAATAATGAATACCTTCTCAATGAAATCTAATCTCCCTGAAATCAACCGGGCTGGGGAGGGACAGGACTTGTTCTTCCCCTGCACAGCTGTTATGGGGGGAGATCAGACCCACCTCCACAAGCGGTGTAGAAGTGAGGGTGGTAAACTCTCACTTCTGCACTGCAGCAGCCCCAGAACTGGGCTCCGGACCGCCGCCCCCCACGGCTCTTGGCGGGGCTTGGGGCACCCAGGCTTGGGGCTGCCACTTCCCGCGGCTCCTGCTGTGGCTCAGGGCACCCTATTTCCAGGGCTTCCACCCTCCCCCTGTGGCCCTGCTCGGGCTTGGGGTGCCCTAGTGCTGGGGTATTTGCCCACCACCGCTCCTGCGGGGGCTGGGAGTTTAGTGGCTGTGGCTCCTGCCTGGGCTTAGGGACCTGGGCTGGGGGCTGCCACTCTCCATAGCTCCAGCCCCCACAGCTCCTGCCCAGCTCGGGGCTCCCCCCAGCCCCGTGGCTCCAGCCGGGGCTCAGGGTGCCCGGGGCTCAGGGCTGCTGCCCTCACAGCTCCTGCCAGGGCTGAGGCACCCATTTTTCAAATTGTCTGGGGCCCCTGGGCACGGGCTCCATACATTAATCCACCACTGGCCCTGACTAGCAGCTAGGAGCCCCCAGCTGGGGCACTCCCAGCAGCACTGGGCAGATCGGACCCACCTCCGGGAGCCCCCTCCAGCTGCAGGAAACTCCGCAGCTGCTGTCTTCAGAGATGGGCTCTGAAGGCAGCACAGAAGGGAATACGGCAATCCTGCAGCCCCTCTTCAACAGCTTTGGGACATAAATCCCCTCCGGCCCCCACAATCGCCTGTTGGATCAGGACCCCCATGGTTACAATACCTGAAATTTGAGATGTAAATATCTGAAATTGTGAAACTGACCAATTTTAAGACCAGGTGGCCATGAAATTGACCAAAGTGAACCATGAATTTGGTAGGGCCCGAGGCATAGGTTCGGGCAGCCTGGAGCACGGGCTGTGAATTTGGGAGCTGCTACCGGGTCCATGAAGCTTTTCCTCTCCATTCCATCCAAGCGGAGAATCAAGCCCAGAGAGATTGTAACTTTACCTACCAGTGAAATTTGCTAAGGAATTTAAAACTATGAAGTAATGTGCTTTGAAGATTCACTGCTTCTGCCTAGAGAGGATAACGAGTCCCTGCCCGGCCATTACATGGAGTGAGAAATTAGTAATATTCATTGTCACAGTCAAGAGTAGGGAATTACAAATACAAGTTACCAATTGCTGTGCCTACAACACCAAGAAAATCGAGTCATGAGAGTAAAAGGTCATTCCCACGCTGACTGCTCCACAAATCACAGGTGGCTGTATAGAAAGAGAGTTTCTAGCTAGCTGAAAGGGGAGCAAAACAAAACATTTTGTATACATCACTTTTACCTGCAAACACCCCTGCAGTTTCATTGCAAACAAGCAGACAAAGGACATGTTTGGACTAGCTTCACGGCAATCACAGTAGTTATGAGCCCATTAGAAAAGTCATTACTCCAGCATTACAACTTTTCACTTTTATGTAGTGTCCCCTATTCTAACCGAAGAAGCTCCCTGTTACCTCATTCTCAGGTGCGTTGCCTTCCTTTGCGTCACTGCTTTCAGCCGCAGCAGCAGCATCTTCAACTGGGTCTTTATCAGCTTTCTTGGTTTTATATTTATCACTTTGCTTTTGCCTGATGCCTTCAGATACCTTGTTGGGCCTTTGTTCAGAAGTTTCCTCCTTCTCTAGGTCCTCACAGTGAGAGTGTTTGCGCTCTCTTAACCTGGCCTCTTCTTTTCTTTTAGACTTCACCGGGGCATCCTGCAGCTGCTTTTGGTATCGATCAGATTTTGATTTAGCTGCTTTTCTGTAATAGTCATCTTCCCTGCTCTTATATCCAGGTAAAGCATGAAGGGCATTGGGTGAACCACCCCTTAAGTACTTTTCTCTGTGCCCTCTGGCTCCTTCGATCCGTCCATCTAAGTCTAGCTTATCCAGCTGCCGTATATAGTATTTTCTCTCGTGAACCCATGTGTCAGTCCTATCCCTTTTCTCCTCCCCGTTCTCTCTCCAGAGTGCTGCATCTCTTTCTTCCTCTCTTCGGGAGTAAGGGGACTGATCCCACGACTCTCTTCCATTTCCCCAATCTGTCCTGCTGGCACCCAACGGACTGCGAGGTGAGCTGCAGGAAGTAAAGCTTGGGGTGTGGGACCTTGGTGACAGAGAGCGACTTATGGGGCTGCGAGAGCGTGGCCTCTCAGTCCCATACCTGCAGCAGAAGGAAAGCACACAATTAATCATCTGTGTCTGGAGGAAATCTAGGGAATCTTTAACCTGTTTGGATCCAGCCATGCTGAATACTGGGTTTGTACACTGAGGCCAAAACAAACAAACCTTAAAAATTGCACCCACAGATTTTTCACATGTACCCATTTGCAAATGCATCTATTTGCACATGCATCCCTTTCATGTGCTGGAGCCTGGTTAGGACCGTACTAACGCTCACAGCATTTTCAAAAAATCCACATAGAATCTGTCATGAGAGAACATACTTGTTCTTCCTTAAGAGTGTCACAAGGTGTCAGTTTCTAAAGCCTATGACATGTTTAATACAGGCCCTTTATGCATCCATGACATCACTAAGGTGATAAGAAGTGGCATATCTACCCTGAGTTTTCATATTTTAAAAGTTGTTTCACTTTGTGACTATCCCTCCTACAGAACTACTCATAGCACAAGGCCCATAAATGCACACAACAGAAAAGAGACATATGGAAAGTATGCAAAATAAATAAAAAAAAATTATTTAACGCGTCTCCTTCCTCTGGGTCTTCCAGTTCATTTAGCTTGTCTGTCTTTAGATAAGGGAATGTCTTGTAATTTGTGTTTTGTACATCATGCCAAGCATATTGTCAATGCTCAGAATAATAAGTAATTAATAATAAAAACATCATTTTCTTTCATAACAATCATTCCATCTGTCATTGTATTTCATTACCCAGGCTCTATGATTTACCATAGTATCCATTTGTGTTTTTTTCCAAGAAGTAGAAATGAAATATAAGAGACTTCCAAAACATAAGAGAGAGAGAGAGAATTAAGAAAGAAAAGTAAATAGACATGCAGTGATTATCCTGCTTGCCGGTCAGCAGAGTTATCCAAACCCCCGTTTCCAAACCATCCAGCAACCCACTAAATCATCAAGAATAATGGCTCAGTATTCAGAATATACAGAATTTGCTTTCTATATTGCTCTAATCAAGTCATTAAAAACAAAGTATGCCCAGCTGACATCATGAGTTACCTGTCGGCTTCACGGTACATATCTCTTTCCTTTTGAGAATGGATGTCCTGGATGATTGCTGCCACATTTTTACCTGGTTTCTAAGCAAAATAAAAGATACCTGTTTAGAATCCAATATGTCTCTAAGCTATTTTACGTGCAACATCATCTATGAAGTGACATTCCATGTAGCATTTCATGACACTGCTTGTGAAAAATGTTCTGATACAGTGTGTTTCCTACAGTCTTCTCTAAAGTTGGTAGCACGGTGACTGATGCATTAAAATTGTACTGATAGAAAACAGTGATCTGTTAAACTACAGCAGGGGTCGGCTACCTTTCAGAAGTGGTGTGCCGAGTCTTCATTTATTCACTCTAATTTAAGGTTTCGCGTGCCAGTCATACATTTGAAAGTTTTTAGAAGGTCTCTTTCTATAAGTCTATAATATATAACTAAACTATTGTTGTATGTAAAGTAAATAAGGTTTTTAAAATGTTTAAGAAGCTTCATTTAAAATTAAATTAAAATGCAGAGCCCCCCGGACCGGTGGCCAGGACCCGGGCAGTATGAGTGCCACTGAAAATCAGCTTGGGTGCCGCTTTTGGCACGTGTGCCATAGGTTGCCTACCCCTGCACTACAGCATTGTATCTTTATATTTGTTGGCTTATATGATATGACCTGAACACTAGACAGTCTCTTTTTGCTGGGCATTCACTATAGAATATTTGCTAGGAATCTCCATTTAACAAGAGGCAAATTAGACCACTAGCCTAAAACATGGATTAAATAGACGTGTCATTCATGTTTCTGCCTCCCTAGGAATAGATTGGTATGATATTTAATTTCACTGCTTAGCCCATTTAGGAGCATGGCCACACAACAACATGTGTAGCCATTGGAGCTTCAAATAAAAAATGCAAGGAAAGCTTGTAAGTGAAATTTCAACAGGTGAAATTTTTTCAAGACCATTTATAAAAAATGTATTACAGCAGATCAAAGTGGGCATACCTCTTTAAACACTAAAAACAACAATAGCTGAACAATATACACCTCTACCCCAATATAACGTGACCTGATATAACACAAATTCGGATATAACGCGGTAAAGCAGTGCTCCGGGGAGAGTGGGGAGCGGAGCTGCGCACTCTGGTGGATCAAAGCAAGTTCGATATAACGCGGTTTTACCTATAACGCGGTAAGATTTTTTGGCTCCTGAGGACAGCGTTATATCGAGATAGAGGTGTAGTCATATGGACACTGAAAGCAGTTCATAGCAGTATAAGCCACCCTTTCCTGGATTAAAAAAAAAAAATCACTTTTGCTACCTCTGAGGGAAAGAATCAGGAACCTCTGAGCCATAAGGCTGCATGCAATTGGAACTGCTGAACATTTTTAGACTTTTCTGAGAAGTTCACATTCAATATTCAATATCTATCTACCTTAGATGCTTACCAGGCCTGTATTACCATAGTATCTGAGCACCTCACAAGCTTTGATGTACATACCCCCACAACACCCTGTGAGGTAGGGAGGAACTATTCTTCCCATTTTAGAGATGGGAAACTGAGGCACCCAGAGACTGGCGCATCTTTGGTAGAGCAGGGAATGGATCCCAGGTCATCGGAGTCCCAGGCTTGTGCCCTAACTACTGGACCATCATTCTTCCCTGGTCTACCCCCAAACCAATGCTACAGCATACACACAACTCAGCCTGTATACAGTGAAATGAAGCCACATGCTATGTGGCTCAGAGAGTGGGTAATGAGCTATGGAGCTTTTCACCTCTACATCACTAGTTCCTTCCCAGGTTAGTCATCGTGAAAGTAATTATTCCCTTAGTGTTGGTGGCATATGTGAAATGCATTAGGTTTTCTCAGTCCAGTTCTTAGAGTACAGGAATCCATACAGTGACACTCTCAGTAGAGAGGCCAAAGACTGAATGATCGTTCAGCATTCTGATTCCCCATGACAGATTCTGCACTTCAGTTAGATCATCCGCAGAGAGAGAAAACAAGCCGTTGATAAAAATGTTTAAGGCAGCACTGCCACCATAGTTACACATGGAAATTGTACCGTGGCTCCAGGGTACAATTAGTGAAGCCATATTTACTAAATCATAGCTGAAGAATGACAGAAAGAATAGTAGCCTCTTATTTTTGCCACCACACGGAGTCTGCAATGTTTCATGCACGGCTGGATATTAGGCTTTCGTTAGACTGAGCAATACCAATGTCTGGCCGTAATAAGACAGCTGGGAAAGGAGTTTAGAATTAATGGTGTGACAATCAGATTAAGTAGAGTCTCTGCAAATAACTCAAATACAAGAAGAAAGCAAACAGTCAAGTAAACATGGTTTGTTAGCATATGTTGGTTAACTTATTTGCCATCATTTCATTTTTTAAATTCTTACTATGGTAAGTAAAAATCAGTGATTAGCAGAGGATTTTGGATGGGTTTCTGAGGGTGTGCCAATAACTCCAGAGTTATAGTACAATCCGGAACACGTTTATAGTTTACCTTCAGCTGAAGCTCCTTGTATCTTTTAGACATTCTAATGAGTAACTTGTCATCATTTATCATAGCAGGTTTCTCTTGGTAGTACTGCACCATCGCCTGTGCAGCCTCAGTGTAAGCCATTTCGAGAAAGGCCTATCACAAAAAAAGAAGAAGCTGGTGGATGCTAGACAATATGCAGTGAAAGAGAAAAATGTGGCACACCAACTTTAGTTCATAATATTTTGAAGAGACGTTTGTAATAGTAAATTGTAAAACACAAGAGTTTAGACAAGCATCCCAATGAAACAAGATTTTCTTAGAGCCATGTAGCTTTTCAACTTTGGAACTGAAATAGTAACCAGGAGTATTTTGATCAGTCTCCATTTATTTAAAAGAAAATGGATTGCCAATTATAAAAGATGAGACCCTACTAAAAACAGAGATGAAGAAACCACTTAACAAAAAAATAAAAATGACTTTAACTAAATCTTTCTTGGCATGTGAAAAAGTTAATTCACTTTCTTCCCCTTTTCTCGGTCACCTTCAAACTTCGTGGTTAGTTGGTGAAAGGAAGCAGAGGAACTGAAATACTGTGAGAAGTGCTGCTCTTGAGATTTCCAACTGAGTTTTGCAGACTCAGTAAGGATCCAGACTTTGGTATGCAAGACAACAAATCAAATGTCAAAAAGTCAGGAGACGTGTCTGTCACCATCAAAAGCCAGAAAGAATTAAAAATCAGAATGATGTTAACAAGCAGGTTTATAACAATTTAAATAAAAATATATTTTGACATGACTTTAGCTTAAGTGGCCAGTGTAAACTCATGAATGTAAATGTACTGGATTTTAAAGTCTGGTTATGATGAGAAGACTATAAAATCATACATATCCCACTTCAGTGATTTATTTCCAAATAATTTTGATCAGTTTACAATTTAAATACAACGTAAGATTTTGCTGATGGCCAGAATGATGAGCTCAACCTGCTATCTAAAAATCCAGGCTGTGCTTTGCTTTCTGCATCACCAAAAATGAAGATTCTGTAACCAGCGCTTAGCTACAGTGGATGATGAATGAAGCAGAATAGAGCACAGCTCATTCTTCCCACGGCTAAATCTGCTCTGCAGTGATGAGTAGAAAAAATAAATAGCACAATGAAAATACAGAGGGAGCTACTAAGGGTAACAGAACAAGTCAAAATTATTCCAATTTCTGAAATGATAAAGAAACATTTTTGCAAAAATGTTTCACTTATTAATACAAAGTTTTCACCTGTTTTTGCCAGTTAACAGGCAATCCAAGATGCCACATCTGTAACCCTGATCACACTTTAAAAACACCCCTTTGTACCTTAATAGCACACTTTGCATACTCAAGCTGCTATTACGAAGAAACAGCCTTACACAAAGTTTAATACATCTCAATTAATGGCACAAAAGGCAAAATACCTGATTAGTAGATTTCATGAGGATATAATTAGTGACTTTCCCAAAGGGAAGTCCAAGATTAATGACATCATTCTCTGTGCAGCTTCCTTCGGGGAGATTGCAGATGTGTACTACTCGGCCCACGGTGGATTTGCTTTGTGGAAACTAAGAGGAATAAACATATTTGTATAGAAGGTTTGATAATATAGCAACTCGGTAGGTTTTTGCACAAATGAGATTTCCTAATCAGCACTAAAAAAATTAAAACCAAACTTCCTTCCTTTTAAATGTTCTCAACCTAATAGTTTTATATCAGACCCAAGACATCTAAATTCAGGTGAGGGGACTACAGATGCGGTATGGGATAACCATGGGCTGCATTTAAATCCTTCTGTCTCTAACTTAGACTGAATCATGCAGGAAGTAAAATGAGCCCTGTTTAACTTTTAGGGCAGTCACGTGTATTTCATTTTGCAGAACCCACAACCTTCCCCCTTCCGCCGTGACAATGAAACACACTGTGGCGTTTCCACTTTGGGGCCCCTTTTGAACACTGACACAGACACCGAACAGAGTTCTCTAATTGGGTTGGCACAGATTTGAAGCTGGCAGAGTGGTAATCGCGTCGAGATAGTGGAAATCTATTCTGAAATGCTGAGGCAGTTTCCAAAGCAGTCTCCTGTCGCCCTTACGTGGAAAAGAGGCTTTACACTCCCTGTTCAAAGAGGCATCGAGCTATGTTGAGAGATGTATGTAATGTAACCCAGCTAATGCTACTCGGAAGACTTCTCACTCAGGAGATAACTGGGGATGTACTGTGGAGGACTTATGATCTTTGCTATGCGGTGAGGGCAGATTTTTTCCCAGAGAAGTAACTCTGCCTTCAGTTAGAATGTGCAGTTCAAAGAAAGGTGCAAATCAATTGAGCTAATACGATCAAGTGCACTGGAGCCACCACAGATGTTTGGCTTGTCCCTTGAGTTTATAAGTTAGAAAGTTAATGTTGCCCAATTTGCACCTCTGACCCATTACCTTGCCTCCATGCTTTAACATATTACCATTTGTTTGTTTTTGTTTTCCATTGCAATGACATATAAGATACACTGTACAGTGCACTATTTATTATTTAGTTGTATCTTAGGTTGCCTAGACACTGTGTTATTGTGATTCTATACCTCGCCATTAGTGCTGGTCAAATAATACTTATTGAATTATTGAACACATTGTAACCTTTTTGAATAAATTAACTATTTTTTCCCCATTTTCCTCCAGAATGGAGAGCTCCTTTAAGCTGTTCATTGTCACTCATTGCTTTGTCGTTAGAACAGAAAAGAAAATCAAGACTTTTACAAATGCACTAGCTTTCCAATACCTGGCTTTTCTAGGCAGATCCTTTTGTATTATGAAAGCTGAACAACTGCCAAGTTCAAAAAGCCAGATATTTTCTCCAGCAAACAGAGAGCTGAAGGCCTGATCCTGCAAGGTACTAAGCACTCTCAACTCCCGCCGAAGGGAACAGGAGTTGAGGATGCTTGGCATATTGTAGACACATGCCCAAGGGACCAAAACTGCTATGAGAAGTATTCATTTTTTAAAATCTAAATATACTTTCCCTTAAATTTTCAGGGATAATCCAATGTTGTTTAACCTAATATGGATGCCAAGTGCCTGTATCCTAACTTTTTCGAAAGCTTGAGGTCTTATGTATTATTTATATGAGACATATTGATAAAAAAGACTTGCATCATATCGATCAGCCAGAAATTTGTCTTGGGATCTTAGACATGTTAAAGGTATGGTGTATTGTCTTCTAGTTTGGTAGTATATGTATTGCATTAGTGCCTAAAGGCCCTAATCTGCACCCATTCTGCTAGATGCTCTATGCAGTATATATAGTACGAAACAGTCCCTGCCTCAAAGAGCTTACAATCTTCTAGCAACGTGGTCCAATTCAAGATCAGCAATTCTGATTTACCAGAGAATTTCCGGGAAAGCCCAAATCTCATTCCTGATTGAGGGCATATCTACACTGCAATCCTGGGATATGGTTGCAGCTTGAGCAGACATACCCAAACCAGCTTTAATTCAGCTAGCCAGGGCCGGCTCCAGGCTCCAGCCCACCAAGCTTGTGCTTGGGGCGGCACCTGGAGGGGGGCGGTGCGGCGCTCCGGCCGCCGGGGAGAGCGGGGCCACGGCCGGGCTCGCCGCCCTCCCCCCGGCGCTCTGGCTGCCCTCCACCAGGGCGCCCTCCCCCCGGCCACCGGGGGGAGAGCGGTGAGCATCAACTGGGGCTCGCCGCCCTCTCGCCGCCCTGCCCCCTGCGTTCTGGCCGCCGGGGGGAGAGCGGAGCCCCGGCCGGGGCTCACCGCCCTCCTCCCAGGGCTCCGGCCGCCCCCCCCCCCCCCCCCCCCCCGGCCTGGGGCGGCAAAAAAGCCAGAGCCGGCCCTGCAGCTAGCTCTGGTGACAGACTAGTGAAACCACAGTGGGCTTCAGCATGAACTGTAGAAGCCCACACGGGACTCTGGGTAATTACTCAGATGGCTAGACCATGCTGCCAAGGCTTCACTGCTCTAGGACCTGAACTAGGCAGATTAAGGCTCGCTTAGGTATGTCTACTCGAGCTGAAATCACACTCCATGGTGGCAGTCTAGACATTCCCTGAGTGACAGGATCTCCCTTTGAAACTGACATTGGAACCGAGCAGAAGCTTGCACTTTGGTGGCAGGACAGAGCTGGGGCTGTGTTGCTGGGCTATTTTGGTTCCATGAGCCACTCTCTACCCCTTGATAATTGTTTTGTTTTGTTAAAAGCCGATGAACAGGTTGTCACTGCCAACATTTCAGGATAATATGATGCTGTATATTCCTTTTAGCAGGCACAGTCACTATAGAGATATACTAAAATAGCCCTGTGTGTGATGCTTTTGGAAAGATGCAACTTGAAACCATGCAAAACTCAGAAAGGTTTGGGTCTTGTCACGAATGCAGACTGTGTTAATTGAAAAGTTATGAAGGTTCATGAACTTGTTGAGCAAACCTGGGCAGATGGATAGCTTTGTATTCTCCACTCCTGTGAACTCTGTAATTGTGTGCGGTTGTGACTAGAAATGGGCCCACCTGAGCTTTGATGGGGCTCAGAACCCGAACTCAGATCTGTATTGTGATAAAGTTCCTCCTCTACCTTGGTGGGTCCTGAGCTTATTGGCAGATTTGTTCGTTTCACAGATTCACCCCGTGGGTCAGGAAACAGTCCAGAGACCTTCCCCTCTGGTAGAAGCTATAGTCCAGGTCAATTCTTCCTGTGTTTGATCAGGAGTTGGGAGGTATGGAGGGAACCCGGGCCCGCCCTCTATTCCGGGTTCCAGCCCAGGGCCCTGTGGACTGCAGCTGTTTAGAGTGCCTCCTGGTACAGTTGCACGACACCTACAACTCCCTGGGCTACTTCCCCATGGCCTCCTCCCAACACCTTCTTTGTCCTCACCACCGGACCTTCCTCTTGATGTCTGATAACGCTTGTACTTCTCAGTCCTCCCACAGTACGCCTACTCACTCTCAGCTTCTTGCACACCTCTTGCTCCCAGTTCCTCTCTCACACACTTCCTCTCCTCTGGCTCCCCCTGGCTTGACTGGAGTGAGCCCTTTTATAGCATCAGAGGGGCCTTAATTAGAGTCAAGTGCTTAACTGCCTCACCTGACTCTTAGCAGGTTAATTGGAGTCAGGTGATCTATTAGCCTGGAGCAGCCCCTGCTCTGGTCACTCAGGGAACAGAAAACTACTTATCCAGTGGCCAGTATATCTCCCTTCTGCTACTCTGCTGTTCCCAACTGGTCTGGGTCTATCACAGTATCTAAATTCCATAACTGGGTAAAAAACTTTCTACCAATTCAAGCAGTCAGGCAACAAGGGTCTTTACTTGATTCAGGCTTGGACCTTCAACCCCCGTGCGGGTCCTGGGCCTCTGTGTCCAAGCCCTGGGTTAGTGCAATTGGTATGTAGATGGAAGGGGGGGGGGAATTAGGCTTGCACCTGAGTTTGAACCCTGGGCTTACACTGCAGTGCAAATATACCCCCAGCTCAAATAATGCAAAAGGGAAAAACTCTCTGGGGGGTATCTGTCTCAAGTTAACATTATAGCTCAAATGAATGGCTTGGAAGAAGGAGAGCAAGGGGGCTTACAAGCAGCCAACTTGGGTGACCCACCTCTGATGGTGCTGCAGAATTTACGTCCTGAGAAGAGATGGAGTTATCCAGACTAATACAAGCCTTTGACATGCGGTTTGGAGCTAGCCATTAAATTAAGCTGGCCATGGCACAGCTACAGAACTAGAAGGAGAGGGAAAGAAGAAACCCCATCTGAACTGGCAGAGAACCTGTATTCCTGGCCTATCTGGATACCACCGAGGCCTACCAAGATAGATTGGCAATGAACCAATCTACAGCTGCTCAGCTGGACTTGCAGATCAAGATCAGCAAAAGGAGGCCAAAGACACACCGAGAGGCTGTGGAAATTGCTACAGAACTTGAATTTTTTTCAGGCAGCAGTTCACCAGAAGAGGAAGCCGCTGCGAGTGAGGAAGATGGAAGCTGATCACCATGAGCCCTGTAAATTACAGCTCTGTGTCTGATATGTCTGATGAAAGAAAGGATTCAAACCTGGCTCGTGGCCACATGGAATGACTGCAACAAATGATAAATTTGGTTTGTAAAAGAGGGAGATGAGCAATAATGCAAAAATGAATGGAAACAGTTCAGTTAAATGCTGGGACTGGGACAAAACTGGATTGTTATAAATGTAAAGTGGGCCAAGACAGCCTATTGCAAATAGTGAAAGCCTCTCTCCCAGTTCAGAAAATGTGGACGCCAAGCTGAAGAGGCAGAGCTTGGAGGTACAAGGATCAGCCCCCCAGTTTTTTGTTTATATTTGGGAAGTTAAATAACAATAATGGGTGTTTGGCTATTGAGTGTGTAATAGGATCTGTGATGTGTGCAGGGATAACTGACATGGACTAGATGATCACAGTGGGACTTTCTGGCCTTAGAGTCTATGAATCTATCAAACTGAAAGCACGCTAATGTTGTGCCAATATTTAAAAAAGGTAAACAGGATGAGCTGGGTAATTATAGACCTGTCAGCTTGACATCTATCCCAGGAAAAATAATGAACAGTTGACTCAAGTAATAAAGTGATAAAGAAGGGTAATATAGTTAATGCCACTCAACATAGGTTTATGGAAAGTAGATCCTGTCAGATTAACTTGATATCTTTTTTTGATGAGATTACAAATTTGGTTGATTAAAAAACATGGTGCTGATGTAATCTACTCAGACTCCTGAAAGGCATTTGACTTGGTACCAACATGGCATTTTGTTTAAAAAAACTAGAATGATACAAAATTACCATGGCATACATTATATGGATTAAAAACTAGCTAATTGACAGATCTCAAAATATAATTATAAATTGGGAATCATCATCATCATCATCATCATCAAGAGGGCGTGTTTCTAGTGGGGTCCTGCAGGGATCAGTACTTGGCCCTACACTATTTTAACATTTTTATCAGTGACCTGGAAGAAAATAAAATCATCACCGATAAAGTTTGCAGATGGCACAAGGTGTAGTAAGAGGAGGCCCTGAGATATAAACCTTAGTATCAGAGGCCCGGTATGAGGCCTAAGGCCTGAACTAAAGTAATGGTCAGGGCTTTGCTAACATAAAGCAAAGTTAAGCTGTGAGCCAGAGGCAGGCCCTGCTCACAGAAGCTGGCAGGGAAAGGGCTGATGCTGCAAAAAGAGACATACCTAAAAGGTACTGAACACCAGATATCAGAACACATACTATACTGGAACATTCCACAGATAACATGGAACAGGCCGACCCATCCCAATGACAGGGGCAAAAGGGTAAAATGATGGATAGAGTTGTTTTGATCGAACCAACATGTACAAGGTGAGAGGCGGCACCTTACTGCGTAGAGGGGTTGCACCTCAATACGTCAGGAGTGATGTATAACTTGTTTGTACCTGTGTATAAGAATGTATCCCTGGGGCGGTATCTTTGTCCAGCCGAGGGGGCAGTGGAAAGTCCCGCCACTGACTGAGCTGAGTCCATTGCCGAGCGGCACTTTCTCGTTGTATGCCCTGAATTAGGCTAAGAAACCTACAGGGAACTGCAATTGTGTCAGGGTCGCAATAAACCTGGCTGAGGTGCCTTCGTACCTTACTAGACTCTGTGGTTATTGGGGGTTCTCGTCGGGTTTGCTGTGTCAGCTATCTGCAGAGCTGGGACCGCACACAGAGGGAACACACGCACGCAGCCGAGTGATATCCACACAGGAGAAAGCAGAGCACCACACTGGTAGCATCTGACAACACAAGGATTGGGGGCGTGATAAATAATGAAGAGGACAGGTCACTCCCTGGATGGCTTGGTAAGCCAGGTGCAAGCAAACAATGTACATTTTAATAGGGCCGAATGTAAAGTTGTACATCTATGCTCAAAAAAAGTAGGCCATACTTACAGGAATGGGGGGGGTCTATTCTGGGAAGCAGTGATTCACTTGGGGGTTATGTTAGATATTCAGCTGAACATGAGCTTGCAGTGCAATGCTCTGGCCAAAAGGGCTCACACGATACTTGGATGCATAAACAGAGGAATCTTGAGTAGTAATAGGAAGGTGATATTACCTTTGTATTTGGCACTGGTGTGACTTCTACTGGAACACTGTGTTCAATTCTGGTGTTTACAATTCAAGAAGGATGTTGATAATTGGAGAGGGGTCAGAGAATCAGAGAATCATAGAATATCAGGGTTGGAAGGGATCTCAGGAGGTCATCTAGTCCAACCCCCTGCTCAAAGCAGGACCAATCCCCAACTAAATCATCCCAGCCAGGGCTTTGTCAAGCCTGACCTTAAAAACCTCTAAGGAAGGAGATTCCACCACCTCCCTTGGTAACCCATTCCAATGCTTCACCACCCTCCTAGTGAAAAAGTTTTTCCTAATATCCTAATATCCAACCTAAACCTCCCCCACTGCAACTTGAGAATAGCCATGAGAATGATTAAAAGAAAACGTGGGATGGGTGAAACACTTTGAATAAGGTAAGAACTAACTCAAATTTTCATCTCAGACTCAAAGAGGACTCAAGGAAGTTTAGAGAAGGTTAAGGGATGACTTGATCAGAGTCTATAAGTACCTACATACAGAACAGAAATTTGAAAATGGCCTTTTCTATCTAGTAGACAATGGTATAACACGATCCAATGGCTAGAAGCTGAAGCTAGACAAAACCAGACTGGAAATAAGGCACAAATTTAATAGTGAGAGTAATTAACCACTGGGACAACTTACCAAGGGTTGTGGTGGATTCTCCATCACTGATAACTTTTAAATCATGATTGGAAGATTTTTCTAAAAAATATGCTCTCGTTCAAACAGGTATTAATTCAGGGAAGTCCTATGGTCTGTGTTATACCGGAGGTCAGACAAGATGATCACAGTGGTCCCTTCTAGTTTTATCATCTATGAATCTCTGAACATCCATGGCATGAGCAAAACGAGAGCACAGCAGAATAATGACCATATTAAAACAAACAGGGTGATGTTTCTGAAGGTGATAACTCAAAGCAAATAGGGGTGAGATGGGAACAGAATCAGCGTGGGTTTCCAAGATGCTTTTGACACCATAATGCTCAGTAGACCAGTGCATAACAAGCTGAACATAAAAACACATTTGGATATTATTTACTATTTATATTGCAGCAGCCCCCAAAGTGAACCTTTGACTTCCCTGTTTTTCACCCGAGCTTTTCTATATTTCAACTTTAACTCCCATCTCTTTATATTTTTTATTATTATTATTATTATTAGCCCTTTTAAATTTAAGAATCAATTTTAACTTTAGCTTCTGTTTGTATTTAACACTTGCAATTTTCTATCCACTTGGATAAAAGTTCAGGTGACCCGGGTGAGACTGTAATAGGGGCATATTTTTGGCATGTGAGAGGAACGATGATGAACGCAGGGAAGAGTTACAACCTGAAATCATGGAAGGGTGAACAGGGATGTGAACTTGCTGAAACATTACTAATGGCACTAGCTCAAGCAAGTAGCACAGAAAGTTTAACTAACAGAAAACTAGTCCTATAGAACACATGTTCTCAAACTGTGGGCTGTGACCATTGGATGGGGGGGAGTAAACAGGTGTCAGGGACTTGCACCCATCCTGCCCTTCCCATATTGCTAAATAAGAGGGTGTCCCAGTGTGGGGAAGGTTGAACACCACTGCTAGAAATACTTTATCAAAAGGATTACATGTTGCTCGTAGGGATGGGTGAAACATTTTGAATCAGGTAAGAACTAACTCAGATCTTCATCCCAAACTCAAACTGGACCTCAGCCTCTTTGGGGTTTGAAAACATTGAGAAAACCATTCTTCTGATTCATCCACTCCAGGCTTCATCTGGGGCACACAACAAAAATAACCATAATTGTGTAAGAAAGTCCCGACTCAACCAAGACCAGAAACATGTAGGAGGTACAGGCGAATCTGAATAAAGATCTGAAGTTTTAGTTGCTTATCCAAAAGGGACCTTAAAATTAGTTCATTGCTCATTTAAGTATAGTCTGTTTCTACAACTAATCAAGGAAGAAGAGATTCTTTGCCTTATATACTCACTTTTACTCCAGATGGAGGGGAAGAAAATGTAGGACCTGGCTGACCAAAGGATCTTGTTGACACAGTGGTATAAGATGAGCCAGCATTCGATGGGTAATCTAAATAATGGATTGTGCACACACAGTGAAAACCTTGTATTAACTGTATGTATGTGTCTAATTTTAAAAGACCGCTTCTAAATAAATCAGAATTATTATTCACGCTTCTACACAGAACTACAGATTGCTCGGTACTACAGCAAAAAACACAAATGAAAAGAAAAACAAATTCATACTTTAAGGTACAATCTTGCTTTCTTGGCTTTAGTTCTTCCATAAACTCCTAGCACAGAAAGCTTAAAAAGGGACCACTTAGGATGAAATTTTACAAAAAAAAATGTGTTCATTATAAAATTATTTTCTTTTTCATTTTAATTTGCATACTCATTATTATGAATCCTTAAACAACTCACCTTCGATGCCAGAAGGGTTGAAAACTGATGTGTTATTTGGAGATGAATGCAACGCTGCCTCCGCTGAACTTAACGCACATCGGATGCCAGTGCTTTAAAGGGAAAAGAGAGCTTTACTTCAAGAAGCAGGAACATAAACACAATATGTCAAAATTTCAGAGGCCCAGATTCAACCGTGGTATAAATCTATTGAAGTTAGTGATGTTACATCAGCATGAATTTGGCCCAAGATCTCTGAAACAGTACTTACTTTTCTGAGAAAACCATACATTTTTGGATGTGAAGATTTCCTTTAATGTGCTGATCCCAGTCCTATGTTGAAATAAACAGGACATGACTGATAAGTGTACAATAGAGGCTGTTTTTGAAATCGGCTTATTACGTATACTAGTAGTTTCATTTAACTTTATAGTTCATGGAAAAAACCTGGCAAGAGAATCTAAGGTGTGATTCATGAGGTAAGTAAGAATAAAAAGGCTTACTGTATAAGAAGGGTACTAAATGAAATGATTCTAGTTCTACATGGACTTTCATTCCATACTTGCATCAATTCACAGCTTGTAAGCAAAATACTATAAATGGATGTTAAAAAGACTCCAGCTCCTGAAAATCTTCTATGCATGACTTTTCTCAAGCAATTAAGTTTATGAGCATTAAATCAGTTAAGTTAATATAGCTGAAGGCCTCATCCTGCAAGATGCTCAGTACCATCAAATTCCATTAGTGTCCATAAATTTTGAAGGTTCTCAGCACCTTGGAGAACTGCGACCCTGCTCATAAAAATGTTCTGTTTTTGTTCCAGCGTGAAACAAAAGCAAATGTCAAGACCTCAAAAAGTTGTCTCAAAACAGAATTGCTGTCCTCCAGTCATCTCTACAAATTATGTCCTCAGTTACACCCAGGTAACTCCAGTCAAGGTTATAATTTAGCATAATTTAGCTTGCAGCATCTTTATTACTAGTGATGATGCACAAGGCGGAGAGACCCCATCTTGACTCTCAGAGACTAGTTAGAGTTTGCGGGACTGGTATTTAAAAGCCAACATAGTCATTTTTACTTGTAAAGTAAGCAAGTTCGATATGATATTAGTGAGACAATATGAACAGAGAACTCCACAAGATGAATTTAATTGAATCACTCTGCAGAGTAGAATCACCCCTTAATGTGTTAGATAGAATCACTTACCTTTAGATCAAAGATCTTTCTGTCACATATTGTGCAGACGTGTGGGAAGTGAAGAGGGGCGATGCCGTGAAAGTCATTTAGCTCATGAGGCTGAAGAGATCTCATTGACAAATCAGATGTGTTTGTGGTCAACTCCTCATTCTGCCTCATTCGGGAACTACTGAAACTTGGTTTACTATTGTTAAGTCTGTGGAAAGGAAGTGTAGTCCCAGCACCAAACTTTGTGTCAGGTGTCGGTTCTTCAGGGTTGTAGAGTTCATTTCTTATTTCATATTGCTGACCCGTGGACGGCCACAAGTTGCCACTGACCACGAGGTCAGGCTTGTTCTGGCTGGAGAAATTAGGAGCGTTTTCCCACTGGCTATTTGCACATGTGTTATGTACCACAGGGCCTGCTTCTCCTTTCTGACTCACAGTTTGATGAGCACTCATCTGTGGCTCACCAGAAAAACCCAAAGATTGTATTCCTGTTGGATGTTGTCCTTTAGAATTGGGGCCATAGAAGTCTTTCTGAAATCCAGGCTGACTGTCATGTTTTAGTTGGCCGGAAGGACCAAAATGACCCTCATAGGGTACCCCTCCTGAGGAGGAGGACACTGAGTGAGATCCACTGGTCATGAAGTTGTGCTGATTGCCCTGGCCTGCATCAGCTGTGTATACTTGAGGGGCAGAGACATTTTGTTTATTGTAGTCATAAAATCCTCCTGCAGCAGACGAGTGGCCTGTCTTATTGAGACTCATAACTACAGTTGGTTGGCTGGATGTCTGAGACATTACACCTCCAAAGGGGTGCATGACAATAGCATTTGGGTTTTGATTCTGTATGTTCCCAACAGTCCCCATGCTTCCTCCTGGTACCGCTAAACCTGGATTCTGTGCTGGAAAAGGTATTCCACTAGATGGAAATCTAGTATTGGCGATCGCAGGTCCTTGCTGAGGTCCTCCAGCATGCCCCTGGGGAGTATTAATCATGGATGGATGTCTTAATTGATTAAACAGTGGCTGAGACATGGCCACTTTGGAGAGAACTTGATTCAGTACAGTTGCAGCTGCTGTGTTGCTGGTGACTGCTGTCTGAGCCAATTTTAGCCTGTGCAGGGTAAGTTGGGCTTGTAGCTGAGCGAGCTGAAGACTTGCGGGAGAAGGAAGCAGTGGATTTGGAGTGCTGACAGAGAATGGATTTTTGTCCAGAAGCTTGGCCGCACTGAAAAGGAACAGGAGACGGTTTCGTTGAATTAATCTAAAAGTTAACAGCAGCCCCTTCTTACCATAATGGGACCTGGGCTAAGAAGCTATATTTTCTAAACTTGTGGAGGGCGAGATGGTGGTTTATGACACAGCAGTAAGCCATCTCTCTTAAGCGTCTAGTGCCATATTCATTTCAATTAAAATGTCATTAGGGAGATCAGTGTTGCAAAGATGGGAAAAAAGCCACATGTTTATCTAGAGTCTGATCTAGGGTTGCCAACTTTCTGATTGCAGAAAACCGAACACCCTTGCCCTGCCCACTGCCCCGCCCCTTCTCTGAAGCCCCGCCCCAACTCACTCCATCCCCCTTCCTTCTGTCACTCGCTCTCACCCACTCTCGCTCATTTGCTCATTTTCATTGGGTGGGCGCGGGAGGAGGTGAGGGCTCTGGCTGGGGGTGCAGGCTCTGGGGTGGGCCCATAAATGAGGGGTTCGTGGTGCAGGAGGGGGCTCTGGGCTGGGGCAAAGGGTTGGGGTGTAGTGGGGCAGGTGAGGTCTCTGGCTTGGAGTGCGGGCTCTGATGAGTAAGTAAGGACTTTCCCTATTTTACAGATGGGAAAACTGTGGCAGGAAAGTCAAGTAGCCCACCAAAGTCAGGAGGGGAAGCTACAGTCAGAGCCAGGATGAATGGATGATCAGACAACCCCTCTCCCTTGAAATAGCCGAGCTGTCCTAGGAGTCTCTCTCTCTCTCTCTCTCACACACACACACACACACACACACACAATTCTGTGAAGTCTGCAAATTTTAATTGCAAGGTATGAAATAATTCTACAATCTCACCAGATCAAAATCAAGGTCTACGTGATTTTCACCCCAGCTAATGTTCATCATATACCCTTGTTTAAATAACTTGAATGGGACTCCTAATGTGAGTACGTTTATGCATGTGCTTAACAGCTTGCAGGACCAAGGCTGCAGTGGAGTGTGTTATTCAGAGCTGGAATGCTTCACAATACAAGGAAGCCTTCAGGAGAGTTGTGAAGGTGGGAAAAGAGGATACTTCATGAACTTTAATTAGGAGGCTCATCCAAATGTAAGGGTGGTATGAAAAAAAAAAGGCATAAAGGGAACAGCCCAGAGAGAAGGTTGGAGGGAGACTGTGTAATGGGATGTTATGTTCCCACACAGCTTAGCCACATGTAATAAAAATCAATACAAAGAAAGCTAAATACCACACTGAACAAAGGGCAATAGGGTGTTAACTGAATAACCGTGTAAGGATATAAATTACACACAAAAAACCCTACATTAAAATAATGTTAAGGTTGCAAAGTCAAGCACTCAAAAGTTAGGAAAGGTCAGAATTAAGATTGCTTGTAGAAACTTAATTCTGCCCCATTGTACATATGCATTATGATGCACTTTAGCTACACAATCACTATTTTTATAAAGACACCACGCTGCCTGGGATCAAGCAGGGGGAGAACTGAAAGCACGGGACAGTCTCACTGCTTTCAGTTCTTGTGCCCAGCACCAGAACGGCTCTGGACAGGGAGGAGAAGCAATTGCAGGAAAAGTCCTGCTCAGCTCCACAATGGAGCATGCTCAGGATTTTCATGGGTGCAGCACAAGACTTCTCTCTGACCCCAAGGTAACCCTCCTGCTACATTTCACATCCTTACTCTGAAACATGGAAGCACTAGAACGTTTCCCCAGACAGTTGTGCGAATTTTAAAATACCGGCCAAACAATGCATTTCCCCCCAAGTTTGTTCTTGGAAACAGCTGAACTGTATTTGCAGAAACTTTAAAACAAAACCACAAAACATCACCTCTGCCTATAATGACCATCCTGTGTGCTTTCAGGAAATATGCACAATCTCTGGATGAGACTGCTCAGTGGATGTGCATAATATGGCATCCTCTGGCCACACTCCCTCTATAAGCAGTGCAAGCCCCGGTTTGGACAGAGCTGGGCCCTTAGGGTCAATAGACTTGGGCTGGCAGAGCTGACACTGGCTCTCTAAAAATTGTTAACTAGACAGTGCTTTGATGTGGCAGCTCAGGCTGGAAGTTGGGTTCTGAAGCCTAGGGTGGGGGTGAGCAGGGCCGGTGCAACCCATTAGGCGACCTAGGCGGTCGCCTAGGGCACTACAATTTGGGGGGCGGCGACTGCGGCGGGACCTTCCGCCGCCTCTATGAGGGGCGGCATTTCAGGGCGGGACCTTCCGCCGCCTAGGGCGGCAGAAAAGCTGGCAGCGCTCCTGGGGGTGAGCTTCAAAGCGCTGTCTACACAGCTATTTTTAGAGAGCTAGCTCTGATCGCGCTAACCCAAGCCTGTTGACCCAAGCTGGGAGGCTTGCTGCCAACTAGACATACCCTTACAGGCCCATAGCAGAGGAGTGGTTGCATCTATTTTCCACCTCTGTCATGTCACCCTCTTTTCCTTGCCAGGGGCTTCTGCTAACAATCCAGGTGGGGGAGGTAATATCTTTTATTGGACCAACTTCTGTGGGTGAGAGAGACAAGCTCTCGAGAGAAAAGATATTACTTCACCGACTTTATCTCTCTAATATCCTGGGACCGACAGGGCTACAACAACACTACATACCACAGATAATCAACACATTTCTAATGGCTGCTCATTCTTTCAACTACTATGCACAGTACTAAGCTGTTGAATAAGAGGAATCTTGTCCAAGACTCATTTTATCTGTACTATAAAAATATATTAAGTTTCAATTTCAAAGCAAGAACTAACCATCAACATTTGCTGTTAATAATTGGCTGATTTATAAAGCTGTAATTAATTTTGATGGCTTGTCAGTATGCGACATTTTAAAAACACAAATTAGTAAAACATCTGGTTAAATCTAAAGTACAACTAAAAGAAAATAAATGGGTTTCATATTTAACGTTAAATGTCCATTAGCAACTGCAGGACACATCTGTCGCTAGGGATATCAAACAGTATTTCATTATGCAGCAACAGAATTCGCTGTCAGTAGAATAAACGCGTATCAGCAGACTTCAGCTCTGTAGTGTCTTTTGTTTTATCTTATGGTGGTTTTACTTTCCATTGCTCATTATCTGACCTGATTTTATTGTAGTGTTTCCTACAGATTCGTTTGCAAAAGGAAGTTACCAGGAAAGCATGGTCAAAATATTACATGTGCATACAAACAAACCCAATCCTGTGAGAGGCTAAGCACCCACAAATCCCAAGCAGATGTCAACAGGATATGAGGTTGCTCAGTACATTACAAAATCAAGCCAATTAGCAAAACTGTATTGCTTTAACATGCAATGAAGTGGTAGAAAACTAGCAAACGTTGTTATTACCACCTGAAAATTAGACACACTATTACGCCTAATTACATACTATGAAAGATATATTGTGTAGCTAGCATCTGGAATATCCTTATTTATGTTATGCTATGTGGGAGTCACTAAAATCAGAACTGCTGTTTCATTTCTTAGCTGCTAGTCCATCCTGTATACCGTAAAAGCAATAAAACTCTTTATAAAAATGCTTTACGAGCATAAAGACGCATTGCCTAGTAGTCTGAAAATAAAAACTTGAAGGGCTTGTAGTTCCACTTATAATTCTTTGAGATTTTGGAGATCCAGATGAATACTGTTTCTAACAATTTAATCCCACGGTGCTGAAAGGACATACAATAGCACATATCCATCAGAGCAGTACGACAGCTGCAATGGCTTTGTAACAGCTCCTATTGGACACATGGAACTAGTTCTCAGGGGAGGCGGTAAAACCATTTGTCTCACATGTTATCAAACCATGCCCCCAAAGCACCGGGTACTCGATGTGCCATAAATATAGCAGTTAATTTTGGAGCACTGCTAACACTGCCCCACAGAAGATTCTACACCATAGTGCCCTGTTATAGCGATTCTCTACCCGTGGGCAACACAACATTTCAAGGTACTCCGTAGAGCTTGCTTTTGTCACAACAGTGAAGTATTTGTCCATTTTTAAAGCAGGACAGGAGGGGAGACACAAGTGGACAGCAGAGATCGGTGCCCGGTGTTGCTCTGAGCAGCAACATCCACTCTCCCTCCCCTTGCGGGGCCACAGATCAGGGGGAGGGTCCCAGAGCCGAGGCTACTGCCTCAGCCCAAATGTCTACCCTGTAATTTTATAGCCCCGCAGCCTGAGCCCGAGTCAGCTGACCTGGGCCAGCCAGGGGTGTTTTATTGTAGTGTAGACATAACCTCTGTGTCTGTCTGCAGAACTGGAGCAGAGAGGAGCCTGAGTGAGATTAAGTCACCAATCATCAGCAGCTGCTGCCATCCCTGCCTACCACTGTTAGCAAGTGAAATCATGAAGGAAGGTGCAGAGGAGGGACATGGGTTGCAAGTTCATTCTGAACATTGGCATTTCCAGACTTTGGAATGCTTCATGTTGCAACCTTAAAGTTCTTTTAACACAGTTCCCTCCTCCCCTCTGCCCTGCTGAGTTACCACCCCCTCGCCTTCCTTAATTGGATATTTTTAAATGCAGCCAAGCACTGTAGCTAGGATTGGGAAGGTGAGGCACTTGCATCCGGGCTGGGAGGAGGCTGTAGATTAGGAGGCTGAGAGCAGCTGTGTCTCGGACAGGATCTCTGTATTTAAAGAGCAGTGCATGATAGGAAAACGTTTGAGAACTTGTGCTCCCCTACGTAATATGGGACCTAGGAGAGGTTATGGGACCTGAAAAATTTATATATATAATCATTTTAAATTTTGTTTCTCTATTTCTACAATCTGAGCAAAATATTTACATTTATGACTAGTTCTTGCCAGCACAATTTTGCAGTCAACTCCGTGACACCGATTTAACCAAATATTGAAGATTTTATAAATTGTATTAAGATTCTGCTCAGCAAAGATATTTTTGATTAGTAATGCACCCTATTTACACACACACACGGACAAAACAATCCATCTCCTATACATTATTTGTTGCTGCCAGTATTGCCAAACCTAATTGTTCAAAAATCATGAGATT